CCTGTTAGCATTATTCAGCTTATAAAGGAAAATTATACCCTCGTTCACAAAGACCGAGCTGCTAAAAACCTGATGAATGTTTACAGACACGCCCACGTAGGACTGAAAGATTCATCGTCTTTATACCGAAATCGCAATTTAAATCGCAAGAGCTGCAATTTTTTAAATTATAGCCCACACTAAAAAAAATCCAGGTCTTCAGGTTTCTTAAAAAAAGATGGTTCTTTAGTAAAGACAATCATTCTACACCGGTCAGGCATAACATTCTGACCACCTCCTTGTTTCTACACTCATTGTCCATTTTATCAGCTCCACTTACTATATAGGTGCACTTTGTAGTTCTACAGTTACAGACTGTAGTCCATCTGTTTCTCTGATACTTTGTTACCCTGCTCTTCAGTGGTCAGGACCCCCATGGACCCCCACAGAGCAGGTACTATTTAGGTGGTGGATCATTCTCAGCACTGCAGTAACACTGACGTGGTGGTAGTGTGTTAGTGTGTGTTGTGCTGGTCTGAGTGGATCAGACACAGCAGTGCTGCTGGAGTTTTTAAACACCTCAGTGTCACTGCTGGACTGAGAATAGTCCACCAACCAAAAATATCCAGACAACAGCGTCCTGTGGGCAGCGTCCTGTGACCACTGATGAAGGACTAGAGGATGACCAACACAAACTGTGCAGCAGCAGATGAGCTATCGTCTCTGACTTTACATCTACAAGGTGGACCGATAAGGTAGGAGTGTCTAATAGAGTGGACAGTGAGTGGACACAGTGTTAAAAAACCAGAACATCCACCTAAGCACTGAGACTCGAGTCAGTGACGCACACACAGAGGAGGGATGAGGCAAAACACAGCCGTCAGACAAGAAAGTGAGTCAGAGGGAGGTTATTTCACATGGCGTGATCTAAAAAGAGAAAGCTCTACAGATACATTTTTCTGCAGTTGTAGCCATTACAAATAAAGAAGGGTGCTTTAATTTAGCGGCGTTGCTTCCGATTCACGTTCCCCTTCACAACTCGGACCCTCGGTGCTGCACTCACTGAACAGAAGTCAACAGTAAGCAGCACTGGAACCTCGGAAAGCGAAACGGTTCAGGAAACGTTAACGTTAAACGGCCATTGTTACCGACTGTGTCAGCCTTTCTCTGACTTTTTTCCGCTTTCCGTAGTTCCAGCCTTGCTTGCTGTTGATTTCTGTTCAGTGAATGCGGCGCCCAAGCGTTCGCTTTATAAAGGGGAGCGTGAATTTGAGGGGGAACTGAATTGGATGTAACACATGGTAAGTGCCATGAACAGCTTGCAGAACGTAAGGATTTAGGGCCGCTGCAGCAAACCCTGGCTGACCGGTGATGCAGTCTGCGACCTTGATGTCAAACTGATAAAACATAGTGTTCACAGAAATCCACTTTAATCATTCGGAATTCAGGGCATCTACGTAATCAGGACTCTGGTTACATATGCTAGCTCTAAAAACACAGCGGCCCAGCCTACCCGGTTCCCCTCACAGCCCCACCTCCAAACCCGTACATCACTGCAGGGCCCCTCCCACTTTTGAGCATTTTTCAAAGCTGAGCCAGGGGTGGAGTCAGCTGAACATAGTGGGGTGGAGTTACTCTTTAAGGAAAATAACAAAAAGCACAAAGGGATGAAGCTGCTGACCATTCTGCAAACCTGCACACGGAAAAGTGACGCAGGGAACTGCGCAGTCAGTTCACGGTTCAGATGGAATTCTTGTGTGAAAGCAAACCAGCGATAATGAGCCCCTCCCCCAAACAAGCCCCTCCCCCAAACGGCCCAGAATCAGTCCTGGCTGAGGAATCAATTATTCGGGACAAGTGTGAGAACACCCTAACTCTAAAGCCCATACACTATAACACACTAATGTGAGGCAGGCTGTTACAGTGTACGGGCCATACACTCTATAACAACATTCAGCCATGACAACAATTCCACTGAAACAAACGACAGAAAACCAGCGACTCCTACGTTCCAGCGACTCTCGCGTTCAACCACAGCGCACAGTCGTTTTTCACTTTCACAGCACAGAGCGCTGGATAAACCTGTCACTGCTTCACTGTTCGTCTCCTTGTGAAACTAACCAAAGCAAAAAGGTGGTTTACTGTGAAAATCTCAGAAACCACTTCAAAACTAACTAAAAGTGCCACACACATCAAAAAGATGGTTCTCCAGAGGTTCTTGTAAAGGGAATGGCTCTATTTAGAACCATCTGCATGCTTAAATGGTTCTTTACATGATGAAAACATTCAGACTGATGTGGTTGTGTCAGGGATGGGCAATGTGTCGATATTTTATCATTATCGTGATAAATTATGTCACAATACGCTCTTCTGTTCATATCGTGGATATTGTCAGCACTTAAAAGGCACCGACATGTTTAATTACAAAGTGAGCATAATTTGGACTGTTTAACTGGATTTACTGCAGTGCAGTTTGTAAAACACTGAATTCAAACTACTAATTGTAGGTTTATTATTTTTGTTATAATTATTAGAACGTTTGTGTCGCTACACAGATTCTATTTTGCCTGATCCAATTTAATAAATCTCAAAAACTAAATACTGTGACGCATATCGTATATCGTGAAAATGTCTTGAAGCATCGTGAGTTCTACAGAGGTTCTACACAGAACCATATTCAACACATTCTCCATAAATCTGAAGAACGATTTTACCATGCAAAGATCCATTTAAGCATGCACATGGTTCTATACCGGACCTATGGTTCCCTTTACTAAAGATTCCTCAGAGAACTCTTACTTTTTTAAGAGTGTATGTTACAAACCACAGCCGTTTGGAATAAACCTTTAACTGTTAGTCACTAAAACTAACCTAAAAGGTGGTTTACCACACTCTTAAAAAAACGGTTCCTCACAGGATTTTAGTAAAGGTAATGGTTCTATTTAGAACCATAAGTTATAAAATAGAATAATCTGTACACACAAATATTTCTTTGCATGATGGAGTTATTCATCATATCGACGGAGAATGTGTTGTGCATGTAAAGAACCATTTAAGCATGCAGATAGTTCTTTGAGTGTTTATGGCTCCATATAGAAACACTCCCTTTACTAGAACCCTTGAAGAACCATCTAAGAGTGTATGTTACAAACCACAGCAGTTTGGAATAAACCTTTAACTGTTAGTCACTAAAACTAACCTAAAAGGTGATTTACCACACTCTTAAAAAAGGGTTCCTCACAGGATTCTAGTAAAGGCAACGGTTCTATCTAGGACCATAAGTTATTTACGTTTATTTATATATATATATATATACACATATATATATACATATACATATATATATATACACACACATACACACACACACATACATACATTATATATATATATATATATATATATATATATATATATATATATATATATAAACAGACCATTTACATACACAAATATTTCTTTGCATGATGGAGTTATTCGTCATATTGACGGAGAATGTGTTGTATTTGGTTCTATATAGCACCTTCTGCTATTGTTATGATGTCAAGCTTGTATACAACAGCAGAACCCTTTTTGGTGCTATAGAGTACCGTTCTCAAAAAGGTTCCATGAAGAAATGTACACAGCACATCATCCATCTACCTGAAAATCATTTAAGCATGCAAATAGTTCTTCGAATGTTTATTGCTCTAAACATTCCCTTTACTAGAACCCTTGAAGAACCATCTTTTCTAAGAATGTATGTTACAAACCACAGCAGTTTGGAATAAACCACTGTTAGTCACGAACACTAACGAAACTAAACAAAGCAGAGTGTCTCAAGTTAGCCAGCTCAGCTGTCCAGCTGACTTTACGCCACATTAAGCTGCCCAGCTATAACATCACTGTGATGTTTTCCAGGCGGACATTAAACCTGTACAGCGCACTGCACTCATCAGAATACCTCCATAAAATGTGCCACTGGTCATCTAAATGCTTTGTATTCAAAACTAGCTCAACTTGGTTAAGTCTGTGCAGCTGCAGTTCAGTCAAATTAAAGGGGAACTCCACCGATTTCTCAAAATTCCTGCATAATTGAGTGGTTGTGATGTAAACAGAGTCGTTCAGAGTGGTTTGGTGTGAAACGCTCCGTTCTAGAGAATCTTAACGAGTCAGAACTGTTCACAGTGGTGGTGATAGGAACCAGACGTCCACCTCTAAAAGCTCCCTCACAGAAAGTTCCTACATGAAATGGTTATGAATTCACTGCCTGATGACTGAGACACTGTTTTATGATAGTTTTGAGAACTTAAACTCCATTCATGGTGGAGGGATACATGCAGGGCGCTGTGAGGCAAAATAGTCCCCAAAGAAAACTTATTATTTCAGATTTTCCACTGTTTTCCATCATCAACATTCCATATAAACTCAGAAGACTCGTGTAGGTTCACTGGTGGTTCTGGATAGTAAATAAAATGTCTATATTTGTGTTGAAGACATGGCGACCCCTGGTTCCTATCACCACCAGTGTAAAGAGATCTGAGTCCCCACAAATCAACCGCTCAACACCAAACCACTCTGAATGACCCCAATCGCTGAACTACGGAGGAAATCTGAAAAATGGGTGGAATGCCCCTTCAACGTTAGCTAATTCCGTGCAGCTGCAGTTCAGCTAAGCTAGCACAGCAGGCTAGCCAGCCAGAAGGCGCACGAAAGCGAAAGATATCGTGTTTTGGGACACATATCTGCCATCGTAGCCATTCTAAACCAAAAAACACTTCATTAAGATTTCAAATACACACAGAAACACCTCGTCACGGGTGTTTAGGGGGGTCAGGGTTAAAACAAACCGGGCTAAACAAAGCGCGGCCTGCGCTACTGCGGGCCGAACTGAGGCCTCGGTGTTTCCTAGTTTCCTCGGCGCCGCAACAAACGCTCGCCTTGTCATCTCTAATCTCCCAGTCGGCGCTGCTAACCGAAGAGCAGCGCGTCCGCTGGGACCACCAGTGTCGTCTGGAAGCACAAATAAACCGTACACCCACCTCTTTCGGCCCTTTCCTGGTTGTTTCTGTCCGGCTGTACCGGGCGCGGCCTCGACACTCGCCTCGGTCTCCGGTTCGCAGCTCTGACGGAGTTCATTTGGGGTGTTTGTTGTTGTTGTTGTTGTTGTTTTTGTTCAAAAGATCGCAGGAACCCGTCCTTATCTCTCACAGCCAGGCGGAACACAGAAGCCCAGAGCTCATTGCACTGCCGAGGACCCTTCTCTCCACCCGAAGACGCTGATTTGTAGTGTTTTTTCTCTCCGTTTCCAGCCCGGCCGCTCCGGCTGCCTCTGCCTCCGTTTTCGGTTCTCTGGAGCAGGAGGAGCCATTTACTCACAGGAACAAACGCGGAGGGGCGGGGTCACACCCAGGCTCTCCGCCAATCAGAGCCGGGCCTGCCTGCTCAACGGGAATGACGTTCTCCTGTATGGCAGCGTTCCTGTACACTATACTGCCAAAGGTATTCAGTCACCCATCCAAATCACTGAATTCAGGTGTTCCAATCACTTCCATGGCCACAGGTATATAAAACCGAGCACCTAGGCCTGCAGACTGCTTCTACAGACATTAGTGAAAGAATGGGTCGCTCTCAGGAGCTCAGTGAACTCCAGCGTGGTGCCGTGATAGGATGCAACCTGTGCAACAAGTCCAGTCGTGAAATTTCCTCACTACTAAATATTCCACAGTCAACTGTCAGTGGTATTATAACAAAGTGGAAGCGATTGGGAACGACAGCAACTCAGCCACGAAGTGGTCAGCCATGTAAAATGACAGAGCGGGGTCAGCGGATGCTGAGGCGCATAGTGCGCAGAGGTCGCCAACTTTCTGCAGAGCCAATCACTACAGACCTCCAAACTTCATGTGGCCTTCAGATCAGCTCAAGAACAGCATAGAGAGCTTCATGGAATGGGTTTCCATGGCCGAGCAGCTGCATCCAAGCCTTACATCACAAAGCACAATGCAAAGCGTCGAATGCAGTGGTGTAAAGCGCCGCCACTGGACTCTAGAGCAGTGGAGACATGTTCTCTGGAGTGACCAATCACGCTTCTCCATCTGCCGATCCGATGGACGAGTCTGGGTTTGGCGGTTGCCAGGAGACGGTACTTGTCTGACTGCATTGTGCCGAGTGTAAAGTTTGGTGGGGGGGGATGATGGTGTGGGGTTGTTTTTCAGGAGATGTGCTCGGCCTCTTAGTTCCAGTGAAAGGAGCTCTTAATGCTTCAGCACCAAGAGATTTTGGACAATTTCATGCTCCCAACTCTGTGGGAACAGTTTGGGGACGGCCCCTTCCTGTTCCAACATGACTGCGCACCAGTGCACAAAGCAGCTCCATAAAGACATGGATGAGCGAGTTTGGTGTGGAAGAACTTGACTGGCCTGCACAGAGTCCTGACCTCAACCCGATAGAACACCTTTGGGATGAACTAGAGCGGAGACTGTGAGCCAGGCCTACTCGTCCAACATCAGTGTCTGACCTCACAAATGGGCTTCTGGAAGAATGGTCAAAAATTCCCATAAACACTCCTAAACCTTGTGGAAAGCCTTCCCAGAAGAGTGGAAGCTGTTATAGCTGCAAAGGGTGGGCCGACATCATATTAAACCCTATGGATTAAGAATGGGATGTCACTCAAGTTCATATGCATGTGAAGGCAGACGAGCCAATACTTTTGGCAATATAGTGTATTTACCTTGTGTTTGGGGTACACTGCAAAAAAGGGTATATGGGCAAGAAAAAATATCTTAAATAATTTAATAATTTAACTTAAATTCTAATCTATAATATTTCTCATGTTGAGATTGCTGTAAGCTTATTCTAGTTTCAAGTTTATTTGTCGTTTGTACAACATGTCAGGACATTCATGCATTGAAATGCTTGTGGCGAGGCTCAGATAGTCACTCTACAGAAAGTAAACATAGTAAAAATAAAAATACAAGAAAATACTGAAACTGAAACATATTAAATATACACAAAATATAGAGACAAGCAAAATTATCTGCCAACCCAGCTAGAAAAACCAACATAGACCAGCATGCCTAATCACCGGCAAGACCAGTGTGTGTTTTGGATGCCGCTGATCAACCAGTATGCCCATGCTTGGTGAAGAGTTCAACCAGCATCAAACCAGCATAAACCAGTATAAACCAGCTGAGACCAGCATGGACGTCATGCTGGTCTGTGCTTTTTTTTCAGTAGGGAATACAGTGAGATTTTTTTCTTAATAAAATTATTTAAAATACATGGGGCCTCTGAAAGGTGTTCAGGTGGTGTATTTCTTTAAGATAAAAATCTGGTGCACATCAGATATTATCAGGTGTGCACCATATACTATGTGGTGACCACCAGATACCATCAGGTGAGCTTATTTAACGTATAAATGTTAAGTTATAAATAATCTAAGTTTATTTAACTTATTTCTAGACACTGTCTACTTATTTTTACGGAGTCTCTGAAATGAGGTGATGTATTAAATATGGTGAGCATTAGATACTATCAGGTGAGCCCCAGACAGTTTGTGGTTAGCACCAGATAGTATGCGGTGTGCACCACATACTTTATTGAAACATGGCAGTATGTATAAAAATGTGCCAACAAGTTGAGGTGTATTTACCTTGTGCTCACCTGATAGCATCTGGTGCTCACCTGATGGTGCTCATTCCACAGTGTCTGATGCTCACCTGATAGTATCTGGCGTTCACCTAATGGTGCTCGCCACATAGTATTTGGAGCAATCCTGATAGCATATGGTGCTCATTTGATCTAGTGTCACTGCATAGTATCTGATGCTGACCTGATAGTGTCACCTTATAGTATCTGATGCTCACCTGATGGCATCTGGTGATGATGGTATCTGATGGTATCTCACTATATTCCCTACTGAAAAAACAGCACAGACCAGCATGAAGTCCATGCTGGTCTAAGATGGTCTATACTGGTTTATGCTGGTCTGATGCTGGTATAACTCTTCACCAAGCATGGGCGTACTGGTTGATCAGCGGCATCCAAAACACAACATACACTGGTTTTGCTGGTGGTTAGGCATGCTGGTCTACGTTGGTTGTTCTAGCTGGGTTGGCAGATAATTTTGCTTGGAAGCTCTCCACCAATCACAGAGCCGTGCCTGCTCAAGGGGAATGCCCTTCTCCTGTACAGTAGTGTTCATGTATTTACCTTGGGTTTGGGATACACTCCAAAAAACAGTACATTGGCAGGTGAAATTATCATATATATGTATATATACACACATATATACACATACATATATATATGTATATATATATATATATATATATATATATATATATGTATACATACACACACACACACACACACATATATATATATATATATATATATATATATATATATATATACATATATATATATATCATGTCTTATATTGAGATTGCTATAAGCTTTTTCAAAGATCATTTAACTCATTTCTAGACATTGTTTACTTTTTTACCCCTTAAACAGCCAGGGCGCCCCTGCAGGCCCAAAGTTTTATTACACACTTCAATAATCTAAGAATAGCTCAGCCAGTTTCCACTGAAGTCCCTGTAGTTACTGAATAATAAGCCTTAGTATGTAATATGACTGGGATTATAATTTGTAATTATATGTAATTAATTCAGGCCAGAAAAAATCTATCTAACTGTGTTGGCAGATGATTGTGTTTATTTTAAGAAGCATGTGTGGAACCAGCAACATTATCTGCCAATACAGTGAGATCATTGTAATCAAATTAGAGACTCCATTTCTGGAAAAGTTGGGAAGCAATAAAAACAAGAATCTGTGATGTGTTAACTCTCTTGAACCTTTATTTACAGACAACAGTACAAAAAATTACTTTCAAAGTTTTGGCTGACCAATTTGATTGTATTTAGTAAATTTCAACAAATTTTGATTTTGATGCAACATACTCAAAAAACGTTTGGACAGGGCAAAATAAGAGTGAAAAGTGTAAGCAATATTCAAGTTATTACATCATTTTAAAACATTCCACAATAAGCAGGTCAACTGATAACAGGTTAGGGTATAATGATTGGGTATAAAGGAGCATCGACCAAAGGCTCAGTCTTTGCAAGTCTTCGTTCACCACTTTGTGCCAAACTTCGTGTGAAACAGTTCAAAAAGAACATTTCTCAGATTCAGTGATTGCAAAGGATTTAGGTCTTTCACCATCTACTGTACATGATATTGTGAAAAGATTCAGGGAATCTGGAGAAATCTCATTTTGTGTTGAGCAATGCCGGAAACCAGTGCTAAGTGTGTGCAACCTTCGAGCCCTCAGACGGCACTGCATGAGAAACTGTCATGCTGCTGTGTTAAATATAGCCAGATGGGCTCAGGAGTTATTCGGAAAACCGCTGTCACTTAACTGTCTGCCGCTGCATCAAGAAATGCAACTTGATACTTTATTACGTAAGGAAAGAGCCTACACCAATTCTATGCAGAAACGCTGCTGAGTTCTCTGGGCCCGAGCTCATCTCTAATGTCCAAAAGACAGTGAAAATGTGTGTTGTGGTCAGACGAGTCCATGTTTCAGCTTGTTTTTTGGGTAAAAACAGATGTCAAGCTCTCCATGCCAAAGACAAAAGGGAGCATCCAGACTTTTATCAGCAAAAGGTGCAAAAGCCAACATCTGTCATGGTGCTGGGGGCATCAGTGCCCTCTGCATGGGTGTACCATTGATACGAAGGCATACATTGGGATATTAGAGAGACGTATGCTGCCAACCGGATGACACCTTTTCTCAGCAAGTCCATGGTTATTTCAACAAGACAATGTCAGGCCTCGTTCTGCAGTGCTGCAACAGCGTAGCTTCATAGACACAGAGTGCGTGAGCTTGACTGGCCTGCCTGCTGTCCAGATCTGTCTCCTATTGAAAACAGCCAAGGACGTCTACAGACTGCTGAGCAGCTAAAGTCTCGTATCAAGCAAGAATGGGCAAAAATTCCACTTGCAGAACTGCAACAAATAGTGTCCTCAGTTATTAAACAATTAAAAAGTGTAATTAAAAGGGAAAGTGATGTAACACGGTGGAAAACATCCCTCTGTCACAACTTTTTTTGAGTGTGTTGAAAGCATCAATTCTACATTTGTTTAATTTTACAAAATACAATTAAGATGGTCAGTGATTACTTTGGAAATATTTTCATTGTAAAGGTTCAAGAAAGTTAACAAATCACAGGTTCTTGTTTTTATTGCATTTTACCAAATGTCCCAACTTTTCCAGGAATGAAGTTTGTACTTTAAAGGGCCACATCCTACAATTTTCTTTTGTTTCCCTGAGGTCCTTTCCTCCGGTTTAGG